TGAGTGCTGACGTAGTCGAATCAGAGCTTCAAATCTCCTCTCCCTTACCTTGAGCATCCAATTCCATTACCTCTACTTTACCTTGGCCAAGAAACCAACAAAACTGGGCCTAAATCAAGGCAGAGGCTGCCTTGTGAGGTGAGGGGTCATAGATGCATTTAATAGGTAACAGATCCTTTCTTCAACAAAATTGGCCAACCTGCTCTCATATCCTTCACTACCTTACCTTATCCATCATATTATCCTGGTAGTGAGCAACACTTTGCAAATATGCCTACAGAACCTTTCCTAGACATTATTCTCACCAATCATACAGACTCCAAGTCGCTCTTTGCACACGTCACAGGCCGAGATGAACAGGGCGTTTTGATTCTTCTCGCGGATGGAGAGACGGTTCATCGGCCAAAGTCGCCGTCTGGGATATTACAGCCCGTTGGTGCAGATATCGCCATTCCCGTTGGAGGACCAGGAGCTCAAAAAAAAGTGCGGATACCGCATATATTTGGAGGGCGAATCTGGTTCTGCAAAGACAAGCCAATCACATTTCTTATCAACCCAGGGCCAGCTGTGGTTGAACCGTCTGTAACGAATCCAACTGATGTTAACTTTGACGCTGATTGGGGATTCTGCGAGTTCACCTACAACAACGATCAGCTGTACGTTAACGTGTCATATGTTGACTTCGTTAGCATTCCGATCGGTCTGGAGCTTGAGAACGAGGCAGGCCAAGTCACGCGTGTTCCGGGCATGCCCAAGGATGGGCTTGATCAGGTCTCCGAGGGTTTGAAGCGTCAGGGCGAGAAGGATGGCGCGGGCTGGGAGAGGCTTGTCGTCAAATCCAAGTCTGGCTCCAACCTCCGAGCATTAAGCCCAAACGCCGGTGCAGAGTTGCATCCAGGCTTGCTGGAGAATTACTTTGCGCCAGAGATTGACGCGGCGTGGAAGCGCTACGAAAAGGAGGACATCGAAATCAACACGCAGGCAGAATGGGGCGATGTTAGGGGTCGCGTCCATGATGGCAAACTAGTGTTCAAAGATGTTGGAAAGGACAAACTTGGCTTTCACTTTGAGAAGCCATCTACGCGGGACATCGTGTCTTGCAGCACGGGACCGTTTGCGGGCGGCCCGGATGTGACGCCGGTACAGCTCAACGTCGGAGCCAGGATTGTGGCGGCGCTGAACCGGACGACGTTATCGGGTAACTCCCGACAGCCCGAGGGGGAGAAGGTTGAAGAGTATTACTGCAAAGGAGAGGGAAGGACAAATCACTACTCTAGAATCTGTCATGAGGTCACGCTCGAGGGGAAGGGGTATGCGTTTCCATATGATGATGTTGGTGCATCAGGGGGAGTTGATCAGAGCGGATTCTTGAATGATGGGAGACCAAAGGTCTTGACTGTTCATGTTGGAGGACAGTAAAAGAAACAGACTGTGAAAGTTTCAACATCTGTCAGGTCTCACCAAGTCAAATCTGCCGAGAACATGAACGGGCTCAGTCGAACGAACGACTAAACCAAATGGCACCCTCAGCAGCCTTTATCATGTATGTAAGACATGCGGTTGTGGCTGTTAATAGCATCTGCCACAGCCGCAATCAAGGAATGAAAGGGTTGCATACCTAGTAGACTAATGATCATGAACTGTGACGTTGAGGGCCTCAAGTTTTGTTTCAAGGTACAGGGTGATCATTGAGCCTTGCTCCTAGTATTACCCTGTCACTCGGAGAGTATGCGGACCAGGTCATGGGCTTATTGCCAATACCAGAAATAAATAGTTCGTAGCATTTCCCTCTCATAGTGTACATAGATGTACGGAGTACCAGGTAATGAATCACAAACTGAGTGGCAGGGCATTCATTATTGGTAATATGCAAAGTCACTGAACTACTGTACACACTGAGACCACCTGGAGGAGGAGCACAGCCAGGCCCGCGCCTGCCCACCCAATCTGCAGCTAACAAGTTGCATCACGTCCAATCCAATCCAATCCAAAGGAAGGAAGAGATCCAATCATTCCGCATACAACCCTTATTCCTCCTTCCGTGGTTGCATATGCCCATGGATCCTTACCTTAGGTAGGTAGGTACCTAGGTAGGTACCTTATGGCTCGACCTGCCTTGCTCCGTACCAAAGATACTTTTCCCTCTCACATCTAAATTAATCTTTGGCCATAGACCCTTGTTTTTTCCAATTCCGTTCCTTTGGTCCCGCCTCGAGATAATCATTCTGTTCTTCCCTCGTTTCTGACATCGACACCGACTTTAATGACTTACGATTTACGGAATTACGATACCCCAGACCAGGCCATATCACTGATACCTACTTCGGGGACAATCCATCATACCACACAAACACTCCGCACTTCCAAGGTTCCTAGCCGCCTCTGTCGATCCCCGCCAACAGTTACCGTCATCCCTTGGAACCCATCTTAACCCAAGAGCTTCTTAGACGACCTACACACGGTCTTTTTGACCTTGCCGTGATAGCTCTCTCACTAATAGGTGCCCATCATGTCATGACTGCCAAAGCGCCATCCCTTTTGACCTCACGTTCTCTTATCTCGACTGACCAGTCTGAGATTCTAATTACGAGGCTGTACGTCTTGCCTCTTTTATACAAGTCGTCATGGTATATTGCGGGAAGCCCTCTGGTGGCTGCTCCACCTGCCGCCGTCGCAAGATTCGGGTGAGTTGGTCCATTACCACAATCCACATGAGTTCCGTCAAATACCCATAGCCTCCCGGCCGTCGTCATCTCAGCCTGTTTCCCAGTGCTCTTACTGACAAGTGAATATCAAAATCAAGTGTGACCAAAAGGAGCCAGCATGTACGCAATGCGAGAAGAAGAATCAGCCATGCCCTGGCTACCGCAATCTCGTCGATCTAATGTTTAGAGATGAAAGTTCCCATGTTATCAAGAAAGCGGTCAAGACACGGGCTCGATCTAATCAATCACAAAAGAGTCCTGTTAGCCAGGAGCTCGCCTCGGCCTCAACATCCCCCCCATCATCCGTTGTGACTATCAAGTCACCACCGACGTTCGCCATTGACCCGAGGTCCAGTGCAGCCCCTGCCCCTGCCACCAAGACAGAGAAATCAAACAAGGTCAAGGCCCGACGTGCTCGGAAATCTAGCACTCGTTGCCGCGCGCCTGTCCTTTCCGCTTTGATTAACGACTGGAGCCGGTCTCCATCGGAAACCTCTCATGAAAGCCCGAGTGATGCCAGCGATGTCATTGGTCCAAGTGAAACAACTGAAGACCGCGATCACTTGGATGACGCTCTATCACCCGAACTACAAGACAAGGGCACTGCTTTTTTCTTCTCTCGCTACGTTGTAGCCGACAGAGGCTCTTATCAAAACTATGCTTTTATTTACGATGTATGGAAACCTCCGGACTCGGCACAGGCTCAAGTTGATCCAGTCACTGTCAGTATGACAGCTGTTGGACTTGCAGGATGCTCACAGGTTTTCCGATCCCCAGATCTTATGACACGGGCACAAGAGAGCTATGCTATCGCCCTCGGATTGACGCACCGTGCACTTCGAGACCCAGTCGAGGTTGTGAAAGACACAACCATGCTCGCGGTCTTGATACTCGGCACTTTCGAGTTTGTTTCGGGATACAGTTCCCATACGATGCGTGCATGGCAAGACCACGTCAACGGAGCTGCTGCCCTGGCAAACATTAGAGGTGCTGCCCAGTTTCGAAGCAAAGCTGGTGCTCGCATGTTTCTCATGCTTTGTCATACAGTTCTTATAAGCTGCATACAGAGCGGCCTACCTATGCCACAAACACTAATAGACCTCCGATACGAGATTCCCCCTTCTGAAGAACTCGGAGGACCTGATTTTCATGTGGCATATCCCATATACAAAGCACTACAGGTGCGCTACGATATCAACACGAGAAAACTAGTCGATCTTGATGATGTTGTCGCCGCCATATCAAATGTTGAGAAGGAATTTTCATCGATACTGTCCGGACTGCCAGAATCTTGGAAGTACCATCGCGTACAGCTGACGCAACCGGACCCTCGAGTATCAGGACAAATATGCCACGTCTATGCTGGGCTTCTTCAATCCACCACTTGGAATATGGTGCGCGGAATAAGGATGATGCTGCTGGAAACGCTCGTCGAGCAGCTTTGCGCTGCTGTGGGATTGGCTGACCACACTGCACTATCAGACAATCATTTCCAGTTGCTTGCCAAATCCCTCAAAGTGTTGGATATGCTAGGACAAGCAATTGCAGCCAGCGTTCCCCAGCATCTCGGAGTTGTTAGTATCCGGGACATAAGGAACAAGAAGAACCAAGGGCACACGGTTTCGATTGCAGCCAAGAAACAAGCATGTCGTGTTATATCGTCGCCATTTGCGCAAGACTCACGAGTCGGCCCGGGAGAGGATACATACAGTAGCGGTGGTAGTCCGGTACTATTTGATCCAACGCAGTCGACGCCTCACACCGACGATGTCACTCGTTTCATGAGCCTTGCGTCGGCAAATAATACCATCATCTGGCCGTTGTACATGCTAGGTATGTCATCGGCATGTTCCCCAGAAACTAAACAATATGCCATCGAGGGCCTGCAAGCTATCCACAGAGAAGCTGGTCTGGAGCAAGCGCGTGTGGTGGCGGGACTATTGCAGGAGAAGGATAACCCCCTGACTCTTAGCCCATCACTCCTCAGCAAGCTTCCCACGGTTGACGCAAACGCTCTACCGTCAACAGTCTAATCCATCCGAACGCCGAGCCTGACTTGAGCGTGCCATATTTGGATTCGCTCCCCATTACTTTTCGCCATTCGATCGGGCATCAAATTGAGACATATGGCGACAAGTTGTATGCCATGGTTGCAATACCAACGGGCTTTTTTCAATTCTTAGCATAATTTCTGTTAGATGAGACGAGATGTAGAGTGCACATACCCATCACCTTTAGGATGGATTGCCGACGCGTTGCAGCATAGCATGGACGAAATGTTTCCCATTGCTTAATTTACCAACTGTCAAAGTTCCCAAAACCACCCCCCTTAATCTTCTTGCGTGTTGGTTCCTCCCACGTGTCAACGTCCTCAATATCAGCCTCGTTGGTCGTCGCTGTGTTCTGATGAGTTACGGTCTTCAGGTATTTGCCAACACTCTCACCGGCGCCTGTGCTATCAACAGTGCCGTCATTGCGTATCCGTTTGCCGGTCCATGTTGTCTTGTCATCGTCTGTACCACCTTGTAACTGAATCTTCTCCTGTTCCCTGGTCTGACGCTCGTGTTCCTGTTTTTGTTTCTGAAACTCGGCGAAAGGGTCATGAAAGACAACGATGTCTTTGATAACAATCTTGTTGAGGGGTCGGCTAGACCCATCGGTAGGTACATCCTCCATCTTGGAAAGAACATTGAGATTCTCGACAACCTTTCCAAAGACTGTGTGCTTGCGGTCAAGGTGTGGCGTGGGCTTATACGCAATAAAGAACTGACTTGAGTTTGTATTCTTGCCCTTGTTGGCCATGGAGACTAGTGATCAGAGATTAGCGAGGACTACAACATGCTTATGATGGGTTACTAACTCGTTCCTCGGGCATTGTGTGACATTGGACCGTCGAACTCATCATCGAAATACTTTCCCCATATACTCTGCCCGCCTCGGCCCGTGCCTGATGGATCACCACCCTGAATCATAAAGTTTGGGATGTTTCGATGAAAGGCTACACCCTTATAGTAGCTAGTCTGTGCTAATCTTATGAAATTCCACACAGCCTTGGGTGCAAACTCAGGATACAGCTCGATTGTTATGTCGCCCAGATTTGTTTCTATTCTGGCATACCCGGTTGTCTTGACTCGCTTGGGCTTTAGCATATACTCCTCATCCGTCAGCAGAGCTCTCTCGCCGCTCGTCTCAGGTGTCAGTCCTGTGCTGGTGAAACTAGCGGCGGCTTTGCCCGTGGTGTAAGCTGCCGAGTTAGCAGCCAGCTTCTTGTCCTTGATCATAGAATGGCGGACAACATTGTTGGCAGCAGTAGGCTTGGTGAGGGCAGTCGAGCTACGGTTGATATCACCGCCCTGCTCACGAGCCTTGCGCGCCTTCTCCACCGCGGCTTTCGCACGCGAAACCTTGTCGCCCAGGCTTCCTAATGCACTGGAGTTGATATTGCCGGCGTTGCGCTCACCCTCCTGTTCCTTGGTCAATTGCGCCTGCTCGCCATCCTTCAGGTACTTGAACTGGTCCAGGTTGCGACTGGCCGCACTCTGGGGATCCTGAAGTGTAATTATGTCGGCGCGACTAAACTCTTCATCATCGACGAGGTCACGCCAGGATTTGGCCTTGATATTCATACGTTCGACCGTATCCCAAGCGAAGACATTGGCGTAGGTCCCATGACGAATGGCAACAATATGTGTGTTGTCGGTGAAGACTTTGTAGGTGACCGGATCGATCAAGTCGCCTTTTCCGTCGCTCAAGCCCGTGCCCAGAGAGTCTGATTCTGAATTCCGAGCAAAGTTGAGACGGATCAGATCTTTCTTTTGTAGAGGCTCGCCAGTGACGGGGTTCTGATTGGGGTGCTTGTCAAGCCAGGCGCTGATGACCTCAACGTCGAAGATCGTTCCACCGGGGGTGCAGACAGGGTTCTTGAAGGGTTGGAGACTGGCTGCGCAAAAGTTAAAAGGAAGACGGCGAAATGATGCACTGGCGTTTTGATTGCGAGAAGAAGCGCCAGCGCCAACACTGGGGGAGAAGGCATCGGCTGAGGACCACTCTGAGTGTGTAATCTGGAGTCATTGAGTCAGATGGAACGTGAGTTTTGATAGACGAGTAGACCTACATAGAGCTTGTCTGTTCCTTTACCCATTCTTGCGCTGGTTCAACGTAAAGAACTTCGGGGGGGGGGGGGGGGAGAAGCTATGATGATGAAGATGGAATTTTACAGTCGCATTCATGGACTAACTATAGGTACGTTAGACTTATGATGCGCCACCACGCTAGGCTGTGGGCACCTTAGCAGCTAACATGGTGCCTGAGACGACCTGGGGCTTATCGCTATCGTGGACCTCTGAGCCAATGGGAAAACAGGGGCCCTTGGCTTCTCCTGCCGCTGGTGCTGACCTGGCATCACCGGCGACCAATTACGTATACACGTTGGTTACTCCCTTGAATCTGCAACTCGTCACTTATTAACTCGATGCATCTTCTTTCAACCTCGATCTACCTTATTGAATTTGACTCATCAATTACCCGTATCGCCCAACAACTCTACAAAATATTGATCGTGTCCGAGTCGACAAGGACGACGCTAGAAAGGACTCTCGACAGGCTCGATATGCTCCATAAATTGAGAAGCTCCCGCGCCACCACTTAAACGTTGCTCAAGCTCCCTTTGGTCTCGCACGTTTGGTCTCTCGTCTTGAATTTCGGCCTTCTTGATTCCAACGTCGCCCCCACGTATCTCATCGTAGCACGCCGACGCTCCCGCTGCGACCACCGACATAACAATCATGAGGTTCCTAACGGGACTGCTCGTGTTGGGCATGTCCCTTTGGACAACCCAAGCTTATGAGATTGGACTGGTACGGGCGGCCTCCATCCTGCGATGCAATGCGAATCGTTCGGATTGAAAATACTAACGTCTCTGTCATCTAGAGCGAGAAGGAAGGCTATCAAGAATACTGTACCGGTAGGTTATGCCTCCAACATGCAATGCGACTCTTGGATCTAACATGTTCCAGGCATGTACAGCAAAACCTCATGGGGTGGACCCGTTGACCCATTCATCCTCGTCAAGTTCCTCAACACCAGCAACTCCGATGTAAAGGATCCGATTGCGAGCTTGGTGATATTTGAGTGGAAGGACCGAAACCTCGTTGGAATCCCCGATCCGAATACTCCCGGCAACGTAAGTGCTGGCGATTCCATATGTATGCCACGCACGCACTCTTCTGACACATGATAGCGACTTGGCGTCTGTGGTGACGATTTCGTCAAGCAAGGTTACTGTAACAAGACCGATATTGGCAAATTCATCCTGCATCCCGACGTCGACAAGAAGTCTTCGAGCATGGTCCTCACAAAGGCTGTCCACCTCAACGATGCGGCTCCAATCAATTATGCTATCAAGAAGACTGGATACTACTGCGTTCTTACAGATGTGGTAAACACAAAGAAGTACGACCTAGTAGTCGAATATCGCAACGCTTATGGCGAGCTAGAGGCAACCCAGATTCCTAAGTTGCCCTTCTATGGTGGCATGAGTATCTTGTATGCTCTCCTTGCTGCCTACTGGGGTTTCTTGTACTATCAGCACAGGCATGACATATGTAAGCAGGAACCTCGTATACGCTGCTTCAACTAATTGCATGCTGACCTTACTCAGTGGCTGTGCAAAACTACATCACGGCCATTCTCGTTTTCCTAGTGGTGGAAATGCTCATAACATGGGGTTTCTATGGTTTGCCTCTCCTTTGGTTTAGTCTACCCGTCCTAACTCGAGTATAGAATACCAGAACCGTCATGGCTCCAATGTTGGCTCGAAGGTTTTCCTTACCATTGTTGGAATTCTTAACGCTGGCCGAAACTCATTCTCGTTCTTCTTGCTGCTTATTGTCTGCATGGGCTATGGTGTTGTGAAGCACACCCTCGGTAGGACCATGATTAGGGTGCGATGGCTTGCTGCGGCTCACTTCCTGTTTGGACTGGTCTACTCACTGACTTTCCTCTCCATCACCCCTGAGACAGCTGGTAAGATCTCTATGATGAACTGTTTCATTAGTCGTATCTGACTGAATATAGGCCCATTTGTGCTTCTTATCGTCCTACCCCTGGCGGGCACATTGACTGCCTTCTATGTCTGGACACTCAACTCACTCAACTGGACACTCAAGGATCTCCGCGAGCGAAAGCAGCACGCAAAGGAAGCCATGTACCGAAAGCTCTGGTGGGCCATCCTAATCAGTGTCATGGTCATCTTTGGTTTCTTCTTCTTCAACAGCTTCACCTTTGCCTCAGCCAGCGATCCCGACTTTGTTCCATTCCACTGGAAAACACGATGGTTCATCCTCGATGGCTGGTTGAACGTTGTCTACTTTGCTGACGTCGCATGGATTGCCTACCTTTGGCGCCCTACTTCCAACAACCGCCGCTTTGCCATGAGTGATGAGATTGCTCAAGATGACGATGGCAACTTTGACCTTGGCGATATCGGTGTTCCAGGAGAAGACTCGGATGACGAGGACGTCGAAGTGGGCAAGACTCGCAACGACTCGAGCAACGCCAATGGCCTCTCCTTTTCAAGTGCGTCGCACAGCAGCGCTCAACCACCCAGAAACAATACTCGTACCGCTCCTCGTGAGTCACTGGAGAATGAGACCATTTTTGCTATAGGCGAGGATGGCGACAAGTTTTCAGACGATGGAAGTGACGAAGAGGACGCAAAGCTTGTGAAAACGAAGTAAGAGGAGGATGGCAATTGACTTACGCTGAATCTGCATGCGATCAAAGCTGGGCGCATCCTGTTTGTGTAATTGTAGGGTTGTCGAAGGGATCAAATCTTACTGATGAATGAACTGAACTGAGTTTTCGATTAAGCAACGTTTTCTTGCATGGGTAGTGAGTAATACGTGTAGTATATGGGCTTTTGGGTTTGGTTTTGGATAGATCAGAGTTGTCGTATAAGGATACAATGGTTTGATCAATTTACATACTGTTACAATATCTTTTCAGACTTTATTCTCCTAAAGCACCGTGGTGCAGTACAGCGGCCGGGCAATGTCCATTGTTAACCCAAGACATCACCCCCAAACCCAACTGGTCGTCTTCGACCGTCATTCTCAGGTAGGATAGCCAATGCTTTATACAGTTTCCCCATGCCGTCAGGGCCCTTATCAACAAGGCGCTTCCAGGCTCCGTCGATCTTATCAGCAGTCTCCTTGTCGACGCCCGACGCCTTGGTCAATTGTTCAGCACGCTCTCGGATGCCCATCAACTCAAGAAAGTCACCCTGGTTGACGGGTCCATGGACTTCAACGCCTTCACTTGCTGACATGGCCACTTCAGCAATGGCAGTGAAATCGACATCTGCACTCAAGTCGACCAGACCAGGCGCAGAAAAGGGACTCACTCGCTTGTGGTGCCGGATACCGCGAAGGGAGTTGATAGGGACGGTATCTGACGTTCCGTAATCAAGAATAAGGGCAGCACCGCTGGGCTTAGTCTTGGGATACTGTTCAGAACCGCCGATACGAGTTGCAAAGTCTGTAGCGAAGATGGACGCATCTGGGCACACTTCAATGACGGAATTGGGCAAATTCTTGAGCTTGCGGTACCTCGTTGAGGTCTCAGGGAGGAAACGAGAGTGGCGAGTAGGCGTGGATGAAAGTGTAAGCTGGAACTCAGGAGGCGGCTCATCTTGTTGTGATTTTGGTGTTCCAAGTTGAGCGTGAGTGACGCCCGGCGGCGTCGGCGAGACCATCATTTCTCGCCATTCCATAGCGGGTTTGGTGTTCGCAGGTGGTGGTGGTCGAGCAGGCGAGGCCGGTGAAGATGCCTTTGGTTGGGGGGGAGGAGCTGAAGCGGATTGGAAGCTGTGAATAGGGAGAGCATCAAAGAACTCATGAGCGATTATGAAGGGCATTTTGTCAGCTCCTGCGTACTGCCGTTAGTCAGACCCGTTACATTATGTGAGCTTTTCCTACCAGTTGGAATAGACTTGATAGTGTCGGTCCAGACAATCTGCTTGCCGTTGTACTTGCTGGGGCTATGAAAACCAGACTTTGACTCTGATGATGGCGCATCCGGGCCACAAAGGAGTTGCTTCTGGGCGTTTCTCAGTTCGCGGCTGGCTTCAACCATGTATACAGCATCGATACTATTAGCCATCGCAGGAAACCGTTGAACGGTCTAATCCAAGTCAGTGAGTCTTTCAAGCTCAACCAATGAATGTCACATACTCGAAGCATATCATCCATAAGAGTACCTCGACCAGGGCCAACCTCGATGAGTTGGACGCCCTCTTTAGGGCGGCCTTGGCTGATCCATTCAGCGATGAACCAGATACCGACAAGTTCACCAAAGATTTGCGAAATCTCTGGCGATGTAACGAAGTCTCCTTTTGTGCCAAACTGATCCCGACCTTCACCGATGGCCCCAGTGTAGTAGCCTCCAATATCTCCGGTCAAGCACATGCGCATGTAACTGGCCAACGGAACAGGTCCAGTTGTCTAAGAAGAATGGTCAGTACAAGCATGAACTTGTAGCGGGGCTCACTCACTGATATAGCAGCGAAGAGCTGCTTGGCTAATGGCGTTGACCACTGTCTCTCGCTCTCCTTCTGGTCCTCGTTCTTGAATATCTCATCAATATCTGTGGCATCTTGACATTTACGAACAGTGGATGAGAGGCTCCGGCCAACACAAGGATGGAACAAGCTTGGCCATGGTATACACCGGCCACCGTCCAATTTCAGTCTCGCGAAAGGTTTGGAGCCTAGTGATCTAAACATCCTGAGCCTGTCTCCTGTGAGCGAGAGCAATTGAATTAGCTACAGAATAAATTAGCTGGCGATGCTCTCACTTCCATGTAAGCTGTACCTAGTAAGTAGTACAGCAAGTGACGATGCTTTTCGAAGTATTTACTGATAAGATAAGAAACTTGCCCATTCATCTATACCTAGGTAAGGCAACTTGGACGTTTCTCCCCGCAACACCAATTCGCTTCACTCATAAACCAGGCACCATTAGACAGCGTCAAATGCGTGACTTTGGAAGTTTTTCGTTTCGATTCCTATCCATAAACTAGTTACAGAAGCTACGCGCAGTCTCCCACCGCCGCTATGTCCAGCAAATCTCGGTGGGCCGACACCGAAGAAGACGCCCGTATCGACGCCAAACTCAAGGAAGAAAAGCGACGTAAGAAGGCAGAAAAGGCTCGAAAGGTTGAAGAAGAGAAGAAAGCACAAGAAGCTGCGCAACAAAAAGCGCTCCAACTTGACGATGACCGGCCCTCGAAGCGCCGCAGGATCACCCCCGAACCAGGCGAAAACCAACAAGGCAAGGCACCTCCAGCGAAGCTATTGCGGTTTCCAGCGGGCACCTGGGGGAAGTGCAGAAGCGTTGAGAATTACGAGAAGCTAAACGATATCGAGGAGGGGACTTACGGCTGGGTTGCGCGGGCGACAAACAAAGCTACGGGAAAGGTTGTCGCGCTCAAGAGGTTGAAGCTGGAACCTCAAGATCGAAACGGGCTCCCCGTCACAGGCCTGCGCGAAATACAAATATTGAAGGATTGCCAACACCGGAATATTGTCACCATGGAAGAAGTGGTTGTAGGCGACGACGTATCACGGCCAGACAAGTAAGCACATGGCACTTGGTTGGCGTTGGAGACTACAGCTAACAGCCAGGCCAGCTCTTTATTCCTCGTCCTCGAATTCGTCGAACACGACCTAAAATCCATTCTTGATGATATGCCCGAGCCATTTCTCTCTTCCGAGGTAAAGCGTCTCCTATTACAGCTTACGTCAGGCATTGCATATCTCCACGACAACTGGATTATACATCGCGACCTCAAAACCTCTAATCTCCTCCTTAGCAACCGTGGCCAGTTGAAAATTGCCGACTTTGGTATGGCCCGCTATGTTGGCGATCCTCCCCCGAAACTCACACAACTCGTCGTCACCCTTTGGTACCGGGCTCCGGAGCTACTACTTGGCGCAAAGACATACGGTGCGGCGGTAGACATGTGGAGCGTGGGCTGTATATTTGGCGAGCTAATAACCCGGGAGCCTCTTCTTCAGGGCAAGAATGAAGTCGATCAAGTCTCGCGCATCTTCGAGCTCTGTGGTGTTCCCACAGAAGAGATATGGCCCGGGTTTCGTCGTCTCCCCAATGCGCGCTCATTGCGACTTCCCAAGACACAAGGCGCTACCGGATCTGTCATTCGCGCTCGCTTTCCCGGCCTCACTACCGCAGGCGCCAATTTGCTGGGTGATCTCCTATCACTTGACCCTGAAAGAAGACCGTCGGCGAGTGAGATGCTGCAGCACGAGTACTTCCGACAGGACCCAAAGCCTAAACCGGAGAGCATGTTCCCAACGTTCCCTAGTAAGGCGAATCAGGAACGACGAAGGCGTGCAGAGCCTCATGCGCCTGTGCGTGGTGGACAGGCTGCGTCGCTGGGCGATGCTGACTTCAGTGGCATTTTTCTGGGGCGGGATAAAGAAGAAAGGGGGGCAGGGTTCCAGCTGCGTATGGTCTAAGTTTATGTGCATCGTGTCAATTCTAACGTTGTTCCTGGGAGGCGAAAGAAGCTATGAACGTTTACCACGATATGTGGAAATAAACTCGAAGCACATATATAATTGATTCTCTCGGCGGGTTAGGCGCATATAAGAACCTTAATAGACAACCATAGAGATACAAGATTTAAGACGGGGGTTATGATTATCTGACGACAAACTCGCCGCAATCGGTAACCAAGGACCGATGAGATTAATATATATATAGTAGACAAGATCATTAAATGACCCAACTCATTTCGACCACCTGATTAATCATAAGCATCCAAACTGGGGCTCTCCCTGTTTTTGCAATGTGACTTCACCACAGCGACACCCGTCTGTCAACGCCTTCAACAGTGTGTGAAATATCCCGATAAAGGTGAAACAATAACCAATAAACATTTTTTCTCCTTCTGATGCTTGCCTGTCCATAACACCCCCAATAATAACTCCAAAAATCAGTTGCAAAGAAAAAAAAAGGATAAAAAACAGAAATGACACCGGGTGCTTTGACTAGTTGTTGCAGATATCACAGTTCCACTGGGGATAGGGTGTGTAGGCTGCAGGTGTGTACATGCCAAACTGGAAGGTCTTCTCAACTTGCAGGTAGCCAGGAGAGGGCAGGTCGGTGATGGCCGAGTCAGAATCCTTGATGACGAGAGTGTACATGCCGACCACGAGAGGAGCATCGGGGTCGTTGGCCTGCTTGCTGGTGTCCCAGACGAAGGTAGGGTTGGTCGCAAAAGTCATATTGGCAGTGAGAGTGTATGTCTCGCCTGCGGAAGACTGGCTGACAAGGACGTCGATGGCAGTTGGTGTGCCCTCAAGTGAGGTGTAGTTCCAGCCGAAGGTGGCGTAGTCACCAATCTTGAAGAGAGGTGTGGGAACATACATGGTATCGGGAAGTGTCATGCTCACACCACCGGGCTGAACATCGGCAGAGAAGGTTGTGCGCTTGGGTGCAGATGTTCCAGTTTTGGTGCCGGACTTCTTCTTGCCTGTCTCGGTAGCGGTCTTGGTGTTGTCTGTAGTTCCAGTCTCAGTGCCTGTCTCGACTTTGGCGGTGTTCAAGTTGGTCTGTTTAGCGCCGTTCTTTCGGGTGCTTGAAGCCTCTTCATTGTCGGTTTTGTCTTGACGAGCCTTGATAACGCCGGTCTCCTGTGGCACTATGAAGAGTCAGTAAAAGGGGTTGTTTACGGGTGGGTGAGAAGGTTAGCGTACTGGCTTCATGTGCAACGCGTCGGACAACGACTGAATCGGCAGGAGGAAACCAGTTAGGCCATGCTGCCGCTAGAGGGGCAACAGAGGAGAGGCAGACAGCCAGCTGAAGGAGGTTCGAGGCGGGACGCATGATGGATCTTTGGTGGGTTTGAGAACGAAAGGGGGGTCGAGCGAGATAATGTCAGGGCGGTCACAGTGGTTGTGGTTAGCGATCAACCGATGAATGAGTCCCGAGTGTCGATGATGGTGTTGTCGATATTGATCGATTATATTCCAAGAGATGGCTGGACCGCTTGTACGTGATACTAATAGATGTTGATACCAGAAGATGCTAAGCGTGTCCAAATCGACGAGCGAACGAAGGATGAAGCGTATAGTGAAGTGAGAGAAGTAGCAAAAGGCGAGAAACAACAAAGGCCGATGAAACGATGGCTACGACGATCTGCTGCTAGTCTCAAAACGCTGGAATTGATCGATCTTAAAGATAACGAACGAGAGTAAGAAGCGAGAAGTGGACAAGAAATCAACAGAGCAAAAAAGAGGGATCAGAACAGGGGAAAGCGTTATGTTGGTTAGGTTGGCCCAGCAGGCGGTACAGTAGGAGCAAGGGGTTGGTCTTTTCCATTAGCACATGCTAACCTTAGTAAGGTAACCTACCTACCTGGGAGATGTACGTACCTGCCGTGGCTACACCAGATTGACTTTAAAGTCAAAACAGCGACTCCTTCCTTTTGGGTGGAGGTCTGGGCGGTAGCCGTTGAATTTTTGTTAGTGGATGCTTGTAGGTAAGGTACCTCTCATGCTATGAGGTACCTAACGGTGGCGCTGGACAAAAGTGTTTACAAAGCCTTCCCCGAGGACTGGATTATTGGGTCTATTCTACTACGTAGGTACCTACCCGCGGTAAGACAAGGAAGTCATCTCGTGTTGACTGACGATCTGGATCCTTGTGTTTCTCTTTATGTATCATCCCAGTATCCGTACAAGAGGTAAAAATGGGTGCATTGTTTCTAGATACTTCGAATAAACAAATTAATGATGGCACACACGCGTCTACTCCGTACTGTTGTATGTACTCTAGCACAAAGTTTAGTGTAGACCGTCGCTCAGGGTGGTTGATGAATTTGGATTGGAACTCGCAATGGGACAAGTCAACGATGGAAAGAGGGAGAATGCATCACATGATCTCGTGTTTGTCAGTCTGATTCACCTAAAAATAACCTCTTAGCCCCTTGTTGATTCCCCGCCGTCCCTGTTCGGAGTCCCCTAAGCTTCCGCTATTCTCGGCAATCATGCACTAAATATGGTGCATGGCTCCATCATCAGATTTTTGTTCTCGACGGTTGTGTCCAGGGACGGGTCATGCATGCCGCCGGGGTGTGAAGAACCGCGAACTAATCTGCTTGTGTTGTTTGCTGATAACGGTTTTTTTTTTTTTTTTTTTTTTTTTTTTTAATATTTTTTAAAAATTAACTAAGTTTTATACTGAAAAGACTTTCCTGTTGATTGTCTTTTCACCGACTACCTAAGCCTCGTTTAGCCTCACCCGTAAGACTAACATAAACTGCCCATCTTGATAATGGCGTCTTAAATTAAAGTGCCCCCTCCGTCCCCGTCCCCGTCCCCGTTATTATTATCTCCCGATCAATGTAACATACCTCTTCCGTGTCTCGTGGACCCGTCTTCCACAACATCAAGACACAGTGTTTGCCAGCGACGTTTGTAGAATACAACGGCTGTGCAGACTCAAGTATCCATCTGTCTGTTTGATTGAGAACCGTCTGGTTACATACCTAATGCCCCGGTGCTGTTCCTTTGATACTTTCTGTCTCTTTCTCCTTGTGTCATGACTTACTTGAAGTGTTCCTCTTCAATGCAAGCCATATATACACTCGCTTCCGGGATGACTCCAGGTCACATCGAGGAGTGATGGTATTATCACGTCACTCTTTCAATTCTGTTTCATCTTTCGTGCTGCAATGTTCTTACAGCCAGTATGTTTCTGTGTATACCTACCTACCGTCAAAGTCTTGACTCAAAAGTAAAGGAGACCATAAAAGATATTCAATAATATATGGTATACATTAATCTGCAGGTGATGGGCGAATCAAAGTCCTCCAACATCGCCAATGTTTGCCTTTTTCAAGCCAGTAAACGGCCAGCGGGAGGCTCGCAGCCGCACGTGAATCAGGCTCGTTGGTTCGCCCTGCCTTAGGTAGGTAGGTTTATGAGATCCAATCCAATGGTGACTGCCTGTCCAATCTTCCATGCCCGGAGGAGAAAGTGCTCTGATAACTGGAAGCACTTTCCATCAAACTCTTATATATTGGTTTCACCAACCAATTTGGGTTTTCTCCTTTTCATCCGTATCAAAATCAAGATCAGCTCATGAGCCCACGAATTATCAACATGAGCATGAACATGAGAATGAGCATGAACAAGACGCAGTAAGCAAGAATTATTATAGCTCGTTTGGGTACCGAGACATCACGTAATACTCACCTATTCGCAGGAAACAAGATGTATGACCCCTGTCTTGCTTATTGGAGAGTCCTTTGCACTCAGCAGAGAACTACCAAAAAAATGCATGAAATGCAAGTCGTGCAAACGCTTCATCGAACTGACACTGGTCCAAGGGCCTTGATATGCCAGTGAGCGACCCCCAATGCGTGTACGTGCCTCGAGAGGAATACCAGAGCCTCCTTACGATTGCTCACCAGTATGGTATGTAATCGCGGCACAGCCTATACTGGCAATCTCTGACAGTTGCCTGTGATCAGTCTACCTACGTCAGAATCTCATTGCACAAGGGCTGAACGAAGCAACTGTGGATGTACGTTACCAATTCACATCCGTCTACCAATCTCTAAACTTTCTGTAGTCTCTCTGCCATCAGAAGCCAGCTGGACATGCGCCCCCCTATGCCCCTGAACAGTTTGAACCATCGCCACCGGTACCGTTAACGTACAAAGAACAAGCATCTCCTTTCCCAGTTCAATCGAATTCCGCTTCGGGCTGCCCTGACGAAGAGCAAGGGCTTCGTTTGAGCAGGAGTTGGCAGCCTAATGCGTCTTATCGACCCTCAACCTCTCCAGGTGGCTCGATCAACCGGAAAGGGCCCGGATATTTCCATGACAACAAAAGACCAGAAATCAAGGAGTGGTTTGAGCGCTCTGCGCAGAGGTCAGTCCGACTCCTCAATGTACCTGATGGCGTCACACATGGGGATGTTGCTGCGGTTATTCGAGGGGGTCCTGTTCTGGAGATCTTTCTTCGGGGCAAAGATAACACTGCCACGGTCTCCTTTTTGCATGAGGCTGATGCCTGTGCTTTTATTGAGAACTGCCGTACAGATGGTTTGTACATCAAAGACCGGAAGGTAAGTGCGTTTGCGAAAGGAGCCGGTGTCATTCTTATACGCCATCGCAGATACATACCAAATGGTCTGACTACCAGTTCACACTGAGTGGCCAGGTTGCCCATCATATTCGCAAAGGTGGCTCTCGTAACTTCGTCATCCGCAAGCGGGACCCTAACCTCACTATTCAGGCTATCCGTGGTGATCTGGAACACATTCACAATCTTCATGTGATCAGCATCGAATTTGAGAAGGACAGCTGTTTCATCAGTACCAATGCGGTCCATGGCGCTATCTATGCTCGAACTTGTCTTCAGAGCCGAGTGTAAGTTAGGCTCTGTCCCATGTTGAAGACCAGCCAGTTGTCCAGACAGTGCTAATTGGTAACTTATCAAGAGAGTACAGGGCTTCCCGTATTGAATGGTATGCCGATGAATGTGCACAGCCGTTTGAGAGAGCATCACCTGCATTTCAGGACCCTGTCCCTGACGTAAAGTCGCAGAGAAGTGTCATTGCCGCCCATCCATCACGCAAGGACCTCATGGGAAACCGTTTCCAGCTGTTGGATCTTTCTGATAGTGATGGAAGTAATGGGGATGATTCGTCTGACGACTCTTTTTGAGTTACTTGAGGCACAGCATATTCGATTCTTCGATCTAGAGTGATCTGGGGATTAATTTGCTGTGACGGTAATGATCTGTTCATTGGTGCGGGTTTTGCTTCAATCCTCTGTGTGAGAGAGAGGTCTAATCACGGAACATACAGTGGGGTTTGCTTGGCTGTAGATATCAGATGGTCAGTTTCTTATTGGCTCTGGGATTGCTTTTCGAAAGCAATCTCCTCAATGTCGACCCCAAGGCAGATTATTATCGAGAGTTTGAGACAGGTACGGGAGCATTACAATACCTGCATGGTGGTGAGAGGGCATCAATCTAATACACGAAAGGATTAATATGATATGTCGTGTTACGAATTTAAATAGCCTGACTATGGAATTAACTCTTCGACAGTGCAGCAGCTCAAATGCCAGACTGGACCTTTCCCTCGTCCATATCACCACAACCGCGATCCATAGATGAGGTAGATACGTTCGATATATACAATGTAGAGGATTTTGATGTCTTTAATATGAATCGAGGATGAGAACCGATCTAACGCGCAAAGGCCTGTGGGGATCTGCCTTGGTTGTCAAACGCGGCCATGGCATACAACACGCACTATATGCGCTTGTTTCGGGTTCTTAATTCATCTAGTTCTCAAGGCTCCTCTGGCTTATGTGAATATTCCAGCAAGTTCAATACTTTTATTACCAACTAGATCTCCAGGAATTGCCCTCTAGTTGTTTGTTCTCAAGTTATCAGGTTCAAGATGGCCAAATCGCAATATTATGGACGCAGGGTTAGATTATAAAATTCTAAAATAGTAATAAAAAAAAGAATTCAAAAAGAATTCAAAAAGAATTCAAAAAGAATTCAAAAAGAATTCAAAAAGAATTAAAGGAGAACAATAATCTAGATAAAAGATTTAAAGAAAAACAAGAATAAAAGAAAAAAGCGCGCGAATGACGTCCATCTTTGGTAGGTCGATCGAACCTCAGTTCTGTCCGGACGATCAGGTTCTTGTCGTTCATGCCACTAAGCACTGCTTTAACCACTTGGCCATGCCATCGAATTCCGTCGTTGTTAAAACCAGAAAGAGAGTTTATGATTCATAAAGGTCTTAAGGTTTCATAGGATCTGGTTGGATGTTCCATGGCGTACGTGTGATGATAG